ATAAGTAAATATAATTTAGCAATATAGAAAATATTTCAGGCTTTGTGGGCCATATGGTCTCGTTGCAACTGCTGAACTCTGCTATTGCAGGGCGAAAGCGGCCACAGACAACCCATAACCAAACGGGCATGGCTGTGTTCCAATAAAACTTTATTTACAAAAGCAGGCAGTGACTAGATTTGGCCCATGAGCCATAGTTTTTCGGCCCTTGGTTTAAGCCATTGGCATTAAAGCTCTGCTCCCAGCAGCTGAATCCAGTTCCCACCTATACTAGCTGGCTTTGCTAAGGCTGCCACAAGAAAATTCCACAGACTGGGGCTTAAACAACACAAATGTATTTCCTCGCAGTTCTGTAGGCCGGAAGTCCAAGATGAAGGTGCCAACAGGGCTCCCCGTGCTGAAGCCTCTCTCCTTAGCGTGGAGATGGAAACTTCCTTCCCGTGTCCTCCCGTGGTCTTTCCCCCGTGAGTGTGTGTCCCCTGGTGTCTCTTTTTTTGTGTCCAAATTTCCTCTTCTTGCAAGGACACCACGTCAGCTGGGATTAAGGCCCACACTAACGGCCACATTTTAACTTAACCAGCTCTTTCAAGGTCTTGTTCCAGATACAGTCCCATTCTGAGTACTGAGTGCTACGACATCGGTATATGAATTATGAGGGGCCACAATTCAGCCTATAACACGAACTGATCCAATGGTGACATTTACAGCTGTTTAACTTTGGGCAGTTATTTAGTTGCTATGAGTCTCTGTACTCTCATCTATAAAATAGGGACAATAAAACATATTTTGCAGGTTTTGTAGGAGAATTAGTGACATTTTTAGAGACCTGGATCATTCTTTTTCTGGCCCTTCCAGCCCCAGACAGAGAAGAGGGGTGGGCATGCATGGCGCAGATGGCCTGGGACGATGGACCGGCTCAGAGATCAGAGTGGCTGTAGCCTGAGCTCTCTAGAGGGGAGAAGAGAAAAGCTGTCAGTGATTACACTTACCAAAAATTAAGGAGAAACCAGAATATCTGTGTCCCAGAAGGAGTGTGTTGTTAAGGAGAAAGAGGATCAAAAGATGGAATGCCCAGTGCATCTAGATTCTAACTGGATTAATCGGTCCTTTGTTCCAAATGACTGGAATGTTAAATGATATGTTGTTTTTTGATGGAGAGAGACTTGAATGGTTTCCCTGTGGGTAGGAAATGGTTGCAAGAATGTCAACATCCCAGACTTTGGATACCTGCCCCCGATTTCTCTTGGTTATTGAAAAGGATTAGTGATTCCCCTGCATGAACACACCTTCCGTGGCGGAGAGCTGAGACGTTTTCAGGTGGAAGACCGGCAGATTGATGGAGATCAGAACTGGAGTCAGTAACAGAAAATAGCAATAGCCAAGTTTCCACATCTGTTCATGTCAAAAGTCCTGCCTGCTGGGAAAACAATAATTTTTTTAAAAAAAGATATTTGTTACTATATTCCAAGTCCTGTTGCAAAGAGAACTCTGCGGGTTGAATCCACTTGCAGATGAAACCTGAGTATTGGAATATGGTGGCGTTGGCAGTGACAATTTCTTTTGGCATCTGGGCTGCACAACATCCTTTCACTGTTAGAAAGTGTTGAATGATAGGCTTTCTTAACAGCAAGTGAAATTGACCTCTGACCAGAACGACCGATTCCAAAAGCTGGGAGTTGGTTCGCGTACTCAACTGTGAGGAAGAACTAACACATTAAGAATTCGAATTTTATTTATGTGTCTATTGCCAAAACTATGAATTCACTGGGCTACATTTATTAAGCACGTGGATATTCTTTTTCCTAAAGGACCTCACAGTTTAATGGTGCAGACAGAACTGAATGCGACGGCGCTGCCTGCCTGCTGGGTGCTGGGTGCTGGGTTGGAGGAGGAGGGCAACATCAAGATGATGGAACAATAGTCTCAGACCTGACCTCCTGGTCACCCTGTGGGGGACACTGCTGCAGGACCCACTGATGCCTGCCTACTGGCACCTGTGTGGCCACGTGCACTGCCCTTGTTCACTGCGAAATCCTCCCAGGTGGCTCCCTTCCTTACTGACCATGGTAGCCCTGTTGACACCCCTCTCCCTCTCGCTTTCTTCAGTTTCGGCACCAACCAAGGGATGCTGCTGCCAAGCTGCTGCCAACATGTATCCTTTCCCAGTTCCTCAGTGCAGCTACTTCGTTTCCAGTTCTGCTTCTCTCCCTTGGCCCAAAGGAAAAAGTAAGAAACAAAACCAAACAAAGTCTGTTCCAGGTGTACGTAATAGTCTTCTGCTTTTGACTTCCAGGAATTGAGAAAGCCAGGGACTCCTGGGTTTGGATCTTTCCAGCCACCCCTTTGGGGAAAGCACCTTGCCATCTTTCCAGAATGGGTGGGGGATTGAGACAGGCAGGCTTACGCTACTTGCACAGAAGCCCCTTACACTATGGCCACTATACCTGACTCAGGAGCCTGCTTGATGTGGGTGGAGTGGATAATGTCGACCTCAGTAGCACAAGATAACTGTTTGCACTTTCCCTTCCCACAGTAAGGCATGTATTTTAGTTACACCTCATGCCATCATTCAGCAAACAAGTTGTGAACACTACCATTTGTCAAGAACTGTACTAGACAGAAGCTGGGGCTATTCACACATTTATTCAAGAATATTCACTCAATGCCTACTGGATAAATGATAAGTGAGGCAGAGTCCCTGCCTACTGTGAACGTAGTTTAAACCTCCATCAGGAGGGAAAGTCCTTGATGCTTATAATGTGCTCATGTCTCTATTCATAGTTCTTGAGTCATATGTGGACCTGCATGTATTTACTGAACCTCCTTGAAAACTTCCTGTGCTAATCAGTCAACATAATCCTGACCCCAGAAAGTTCTCATACACATTGTTGCATAAAAAATTATTTTTAGGTATTGCATCATCTCCCCAAATTTTCATGCTTAAGGCACCAGTTCTAAATCTTTCTATGCAGTCTGGCCATACATGTGGTACTGGTTTAGTTAGTGTCCTATTCATCAGAGAAGCTGACTAAACACCTAAAAAGAAAAAGATAAGCTAAAGGAGTTAGATCAGTTATAGTATAATTCAGCTCTGTAATTTCCGTTGGTACCCTTTTTTTAAAACTTTCTATCTCTTTGCTTAAATTTTCAGATTGTTCCTGCATTGTTCTCCTGACCCTGGTGAGCAGCTTTATGACCATGATTTTGAATTCCTTGTCAGGGAAATCACTATCTCCATGTCACTTGGGTCAATTTTGGGAGATTTATATTGTTCTTTTATTTGAATATATTTTCCTGTTTCTTCATTTTCTTGGCATTCTATGCTGGTTTCTACACATTAGATAAGATAACTGCCTCTCCTAGTCATGTCAGTGGTAACTCCACATCTATTGATCCCTTCTGGAACAAGCTTGTTCGTATGTTGAGCATCCCACCATTTACAGCTTCCACCTAAGAGACTGCATCCTGAACCTCGTAGCTCTTAGAGGGTATTAGACATACACAAGTCTTTCTAGATCACAGGAAAAAAAGTGGCAAGGTCTCATATCCACCTCTTTCTAAGATATTCACCCATAATAGTATATCCCAATCAATACACAGCTACATAAAATACCCATGCTACAATGTAATTTATCCTCTTAACATTTCTTCTTCCAGTCTCTGCTTTTCTCTTAACCTTATTACAATGATAAGGTTGAAGAGGGAGAATGATATAAAAACCAGTTTACATTTCAAACTATAGACCTGATACTGAAATCCACAAACAGAAAATCTGAGTTACAGATAAGTAAAGATTCATATTCTGATGAGATTGGGCATGTTCAGGGTGGTATGACCATAGACAGGATTCATATGCTGAAGTGCAAGACATACTCTTAGATCTGAAGCATCTGATATCCTATCAATATTTCAGCAAGAAAGAAGCAGGCAGATGACAGTGGGGCCAGGATTTCAAGCTAGAGGGACATAAAACACGATGGAAGGAGAACTTTCATTAAATGATGATCCAGTACCAAAAACTTACTGGCATTATTCATTCATCCATATAACAAATATTTTTTGAGAGTTGACACTAGGTCTGCCACTGAATAATATCAGTATTATCCCCATTTTACCTCTGAGGAATCAGAGCCACTGATTTCAAAGTAATTCAATAAAAAAGACATCTGCACCATTTGATCCAGCAATCCCATTACTGGGCATCTACCCAAAGGAAAAAAAGGCATTCTATAAAAAAGATACCTGCACTCGAATGTTTATAGAAGCACAATTCACAATTGCAAAGATGTGGAAACGACCCAAGTGCCCATCAATACATGAGTGGATTGATAAAACGTGGTATATGTATTCCATGGAGTACTACTCAGCCACAAAAAACAATGGTGATTTACCACCTCTTGTATTATTCTGGATAGAGCTGGAGCCCGTTCTACTAAGTGAAGTATCACAAGAGTGGAAAAACAAGCACCACATTTACTCACCATCAAATTGGTACTCATTGATCAACACTTACATGTACAGATAGTAACATTCATCAGCTGTTGGGTTGGGCAGGTGGGGAGGGAGGAGGGGATTGGTATATTCACACCTAATGGGTGTGGTGTGGATGGACATGCTTGAAGCTCTGACTTGGGTGGGGAAAAGGCAATATATGTAACCTAAACATTTGTACCCCCATAATATGCTGAAATTTAAAAAAAATGAAAGAACTAAAAAAAAAAAAAAAGGTACTTGACCCAGTAACCACAGGATTTCAAATCAGATCTACACAAAGAAGCTCATGTTCTTTCTTTTATGACAAAGCATGGAAGGAAGTATTAATAAAAGAATATAACTATGAGACGAGAAAGAGAGTGAGAAGAAGATTCCATTGAGGAACAATCATGTACATCCAATCATGTACAACCATAACATCCTAAGTCTCCAAAAAAAACCACTTTGATTCACATATTAGCCAAAAATGTTTTAATATACTTTATAGACAATAAATTTTTCCACAATGTTCTACTTCATCTACCAGTAAAAACTGTCTATGAATTCAATAATAAACAAATTTTAAAGATTTTATAGCACAAATCACTATGATTCCCAAAATGCCCACAGGTTATCATTAAAATGACTTTATTATTAATTTGAAAAGGTGTGTTGTTATGTTTCATTAAAAAGCTATTTAATTATATATGCTGACATTTTTATGGGTGAAATGATTTCATGTCTAGGATTTTCTTCAAAAATTATGTGGAGGTATAGAGGAAATGTGATCACTCATCAGTTGATAGTTGGTCAGGTGGATGATAAAAACAAGAGTTTTTTATTTTTTTTCTCCTTACACTAAAAAGTTAAAGATTGACAGTTAGATCGCCATGTTTGGGCACGAGTTTTCTCTCCAGGGAAATATTAAATATATTTTTCAGCACTTCTTCTACTTCTTCCTCATTCAGAGTCTTAAACTCTACCAGATCTTTATTGTCCTTATAATTGAATCTCTTGGAGATGAGGGTGAAGCCCACCAAACAGTGAACGCCTTCTGGGGTCTGCAAGGAACACAATGATGTGGTTTTGAACACAGATGTTGGAGATTCCTGCATGCATGTATTCATAGATTCAAAATCTTCGATTGTTCGAGGTTCAAGAGTAAAAGAATAGATTTTTCGGTGTTTATTCTTTTCCAGGAGATCAGAATTAAGAAATTCTTCATTTGAAACATACTGCTCTCTTCTGATTTGGTCCAGGTACCAGATGCCACTCTCTTCTCTCAAGCGGAAGATGCAAGGCACCTGAGGCTGATCCTTCCCAGAAATTAACTCCAGAGGCTGCCACATCTGGTAGGAGAATCCAAACCCAGCATCAACAATGTACTTTCTGCTACCAATGGTCACCTGCAGTACAAGGTGAATCATGTTACTGCTGTATTTGTCAACTGCAGTTATGTAAATATATCCTCCCAACATTGTGGTCTCAAAACCGATTGTGCTGAGAGCCCAGTACAGAAGTTGATTGACCTGGAGACACCATCCACCCCGGTTCCTTCTCACGACTTGATCAAAAATGGCTTGTAAGCCGAATTCCATGACTTCCCCACAATGCATGTTAAGGTTCTCAAAGGGAATGGCCCGGATGTGGTGCTGAAGAATGTCAGTTAGTGTTTCCAAGTCCAAGTTCTTCCTAGAGTTCTTATAACCAATTCTTTCAAAATATGCTTCAATGTCCATGATGCCCTAAGCAAGGAAAACAAAACAAAGATAGATAGTATTACTTTTGCACGTGGATTTCTTTGAGTAGGTTAATTATAGGTATAATGTATTTTACCTATGGAAAAACACTCTATGGTTACAAGTATCTTATTAATAACTCCTTGTTTAGTGCTTTATTGTATGAAATCCTTTCACATGCAGAAGTTCACTTAATAGTCTCAGAACCCTGTAAGGAAAGTAGTATCCTTTCTTCTATCTTCTAGGCATGAAAACCTGCGAATCCAGAAGAAATGATGAGCCAAATGATAAATAGCTTGTTTGTGGTTTCCTTGATGATGGATAAAAAAGGGATTCCAGTTGGTATCAATTAAGTAGCTTTAGAAACAGTTTCTGATATAAGCAGCAGAATTATGCAATAGAGGACGTGGTACTCAAGGTACACGACCCACTTGATTTCCCCTTTCGTTGAACCTTATATAGTCAAAGCTCTTCACTTAAAGAATTTTATTGGTTCACTCATTAATTGATTGATTCATTCAATAAATAGTTTACTCAATAACAATCATGTGTTTGCTACTGATCTAGAGCTTGCTTGCCTGCAAAAATCTCACATTTTAGTGGGAGTTGGAGTGACATAGAGACTGAACTGAATAAACGAATAAAACATGCAATCTGTTACATTGTGGTAAGTGCCTCGTGGAAAACTAAAGCTATGGAAGGGGTTACTAAATACAAAGGGAGAGCTTAAATGTCAAATAAGGTGGTTAGGGAAAGACTCATTAAGACTTTTAAGGATGCTAGAGAATAAGCCCTGTGGATATGTATGGAGAATGTTCCAAGTAGAGGGATCAGAAAGTAAAAGGGCCCTAAACTGGAACCCGTGTAGAGTGTTAAAGAAACATCTAGTTTGTACCAAAGTTGTTGGGAAAAAAAAAAAAAAAGAAAAGAAGAAACATCTAGGAAGCCAGGGTGACTGGAGCAGAGTGAGTGAGAGGGAAAATGGACTGAGATGATATCAGACAGGTAACAGTCACCTTGGGGCCGGTGCTGGCATTTTGATTTTACTCTAAGATAAGAAATCTAAATGAGAAAGGGATGAGGGGAGGGTTATAATTTGAACACTGTTTGCCATAACCAATGGGACATTTCTGGCTACTGTATGGAGAAGGAGCTGTTCATATTGAGCTCTACGGAAAGTCACATGAACTAGGCAGGACAAACTCAAACACATCTGCACTAGGACCAACGTCTGGCTCAGGGACGGCGTGTGACATAGTAGAATGATGAGACTTTATTGAGGGACTTTTGCTGACACCTAAGCATGTACACTCTGCTGCAGGGCTAGATGCTGGTGAGACGTTAACTCAGAGTTATCGGGGGAGAACTGACTGAACAACAAGACTAGCGAAGAATTGACCAAGTTGAGGGATGAACAACAGGAGAAGGGAGGATAAGGAGAGCCATCGATGAAGCCTAAAGCTATCTTTTAACTTTCAGGTAAGGTGAGCCAAAAACATAAACGCCCCTTATTTTCTTTAATCCTTTTAGAAAAGGTTTTCGTAACCTGCTATCCAAGACTCTTAATCTACTGAGTCTTTGCTCCAACAATGGTGCCCAGACCTCAAGACTAACTCCTTTGTAATGTGGCACGTCCTGAGCATGACATGGTACAAAGGGACCTGCCTGGAATTAGTGGTGATAAGCAAAGCATCTCTATTTTCCCTCCTCCTATCATTTCTCTCATACTCTTCTCTTTCTCTTTTTGACCCAAATATCCTTCCAATACTGCTAGTGCTTCCAACTTCCTATGTCCATGAGAGCTACAATATTATTTCCCCCCAAATGTATTTATTACATTCATTGCATTTCTTCTTATCCGACCTTGTGCCAGCATCTTTTCTCAACATTGAGACAAGCTCTAAAACTGAGGCATGGAGAGAACAAATTGTATTCAGTCAGACCACCCCAAACCCTCTCTGGCCCCTAACACAGAATCTGTACCGAGTATGTAAGAAAAACAGAGAAAGCTTGATCCAAAGGGAACAAGTGATTTATCCATGCCTGGCCACAGGATTCTTGCTTAGACCATATTTCCTTATATCGAAGAAATTACGTACGTTCCTTTTTAAATGGTATAATTTGTTTACGAGTGTTTATTTTCCTTCTTTTTCTTCTCTCTCTTTTGCATTCTCTCTCTCTCCCTCCATCTCACTCTACTTCCCCTCTATTTCTTTTTTTTTTTTTAAAGATGAAATGTTGAATTGGAATTTAGTAACTGCAGGTTCATTTGAAAGAAGTTCATTTTTGTTCCAGGCCTGGATACTAGCAACATGTTGTAACAAAATAATATCTGAGTGTTTTGGGACTAAACATAAGAAAGTGTGTTACTAAAGTTGTGATATAACGAGAAATGCTGAAAGCCCTTGAAAAGTAGTTACCGGGAAAGTAGCAGACTGAAAACGCTATTAGCTTTATATATTCATCTGTGGAATCTCAGTGCAGTTTTATATACCCACCTTTCAGCTTGAAAGAGGCAGAGTTAAACATACACAGGAGGCCCACTGAGAACCCACAAAAAGGCACTTAATATCTTTCTTGGTAAGTTCAAAGTAGGTCAGTCTTCAGTTTTAATTCAGAATATTTGGAATGTTTCTTCTTGCTGGCCTAACTCTAAAGCGACAGAAAAGTTATTGACAAGAATGTAACATGACTTTCCTTGGAGACAAAAGGATAGTTCTGTGGTCCAGAAATTATGAAGAATTCCTAAAAATCACAGAGCAGAGAGAATGGACTGCATAGTAAAGTGAACACCTGAGCTGCATTAGGAAAAGCGCAGAAATTATAACCACCGCAGATGGGAGCAACACCGATGGGGCCAGAGCATCCAGCTTCAAAGCTAGAGGTTGTGGAAGCCACCAGGAGGGGCCCAGAAGCAACCAATCAGATAATGACCTGCCCTGGGATCAGCAAGGAGGGGTGAGCCACGTTCCATGGCCCCGATCACTACCACGGCATATACCAAACACATCAACAACCAGGATGTGGTGGTAGCACCAGGTCTTCCTTTAGGTGACAACTCATTGAGGATGTTGTGGCAGAAAAAGAAGGGAATGACCTTAATGCGTGGTGTCACCAGAAAACAAAGTAGGACCATCTGCCTCCAGAAGATCTGCCATCAATGTATCTCCTGTCATATTCATCTTCCTCCACCTCCACTGAAAAAATTGAGGAATCCAAGCCCAGCCCCAGCTGGACATCTCACCAGCCACACTGGATACAAAAAACAAGAGGTGGAGAACAGAGCTATGCATACATGAATGTGATGAAAAAATAAAATGAAAATATACTATAGATGGGGATTAGAAGAAAAGTTATAACATGCATAAATTACATGAAAAAAATATAACCAATTCAAAAAGAAAAATAAACTAAATGGAAAAAATTCTTTTACAGGTACCAGGAGCTATAACCATGTGAAGTGGACTCAATAACAAAGAGCTAAACAATGAGGTGATAAAATACTAAGGTTTTATGAAAAGAAAGCTTTCAGGCTTTAGAATATTTATTAAGAACATAAACAAAGCTAATACAATAATTAATGATAAACAGAAAAACTATATAGAGTATCATATCACATTACTTATATAGAAGAAAAGTTTGCTATCCATAGTAAAGGTTAATGAAAAGACACAGCAATTAAAACAGTGGAAAGATGCTAATTGATACAGAAAGCAAAGACCATCAAATGTTAAGATAATTGGAGCTTCTGAAGAAAACTCAAAAGTATAGTAAAAAATGTATATAAAGACAGCAAAAAATATGTTCTTGAAGCAAAAATTGAATCTGAAAAACAAGAGAGATAAGAGTCTGGGAAAGTTTGATGCAACATGCTTGACATTGGACTATATTCTTGTTAAATTATTAAAATTCAGAATTAAAGGGAACGACTCAAGCATCTGGCAGAGAAAGAAAATATTTCATAAAGGAGAAAATAAAATAAAAGGCTGGTATAGAATGTTTCACAGAAATATCCAAAGGTGAACTAGCAGAACTATGTCTGCAAAGTACTGAAGGGAATTGTTATCCCCAAGTGGCATCCTGGTTAGTACTTTATTTAATCATAAAGGCAACATAAACATAAAGATAATTTCAAATGTGAAAGAGCTGGAGAAATCCAACGACCATGGGCTACCCTGATAAAGATTTTCTGCTTCGTTGGTCAGGGAAGAAGTAAATGAAAATGAAAACTAAGATCTGAAGAGACCACACTAAAGGATTGTTGGTGAGCAACGACCCCTTTCAGTACAGAACAAGGAGTGGAAATGTTATGAGAATTATGGCCGTTGAACAAACCATTTTGGCTTATATGGAAATAGAAATAGGAAGCTAAACATTAAATCTGAAGATCAAGAAAGACCAGACTCTAGGAAAATGTGATGCAGCGTTGTCAAGATGGGAACTGTAAAAAGATAAACTTCAGACGCATTACAATTTTGAAGTGTTTATTTGAGCAGACAGCAATTTATGCATCAGACGGCACCAGCTGACAAGAGGTTCAGCGGTCCTTGGAGGGGAGGTGACGAGAGTGAAACTTATAAAATGTCCATAGTAGACAAAAAAAAAAAAAAAAAAAAATACTTGATTGGGTAGAGTGCAGAGTCCCTAGTTAGAGGTTAGTTGGCAGTTTCTCATTAGTAAATAGCTTCATTTTACTGTTTACATTGGGAACACAAAGCTCTGGATCCATCCAGCCTAATGACCTGCCCATGAAAAAATCTTAACAGAACACATTCTGATTAAATTATTGAACTGTAACGGCAGGAAGAATCTAGTGTAATAAAATAGGAAAAGGTGGAGCCTCATGGGAATTGGGGAGTGCATTCCCTGCTTAAAGTAATTGAAAAACCATTTTAAAACCATAGTTACTCCAATGAAACTCCATGAGACCTATTGGTCCCCATCATAGGTAAACAAAGGAGCATACTTAGTGAACTTAGAGCGGGCACATGGTGCTGGGGAGGATCCAGGACTGAGGTTAGCAGGGGAAGAACGCTTTCAGCAAGTCACCTAGGTCCTTCGATTCTGTGTCACCAGTTTGCTGTGCCCCCTGCCCTGGCTTCTGTGTTATTGTATTTTAGAACGTGTAACCTAGACTCTCTTTGGAGGATTCCCTTGGGGCTTCTGGAACTTCTTTGCCCTCTTTCACAGAGAGCTGGAAGTGCCATTGATTGTGTCCTGCTAGGGCAGCCCTGAGTCAACGACTCATTGGCAGGAGGTTTGGAAAGCCTTGAGTCTGGACACGCTTTTGAGCTCTAATTCACGTTCAGGCTGCAGCTGGGTTTCACCCAGCACTTCCTTAAGTCAGTTACCTGTGGATCCTTGTCTCACTGTCTGGTTTTGGGGAACCTGACTTAAGTCACCTTGGGGGTCATTTTGGAGAGCTGTGCAAAAGAAAGGTAAGATTCACAGAATTGGGCAACTTCTAGAAGGCCTTGAATGCCAGGCAAAAGACTTGCCTCTTTTTTTTTTTCCTGAAGATTACATGAATGTTTGCTGTTTTGTTGAATGGTCGATATTTAATAGTTTGCTAACGGTTGTGATTTCTCCCTAAGTGACCTGGCACTTCGGTTATAAATCACCGCTCTTGGATGTGTATCCCTGGAGAGCAGGTTCAATATGCCAACTTTATGTTCCATTCCCAATGTCTAGGACATCTAAACCTTTCAGGTACAGCGGTGGTTTTCAAATGCTTTTTGGCTAAAGAAACCCTTATTCTTTCCCCGTAGGAAGTTGTAAGTAAGTGCCCAACATAGAGGAGTTAAAAGCAGACTGATCCAGAGGGAGCCCGTCTATGAGATGCTGCTGTTGTACCTTAAGGCTACAAGCAACGCAGTAATGGACGGAAGTGCATTCTCTTACACCTGCTGCATGGGTTTCTGGCATTAGCAAAGAGAAGAATTGTAAGGAGAGCTAGTGAGTGGCTCTTCCTTTTGTGTGAGTGGTTTTTATCTTTTCCTGTTCCTTATCTTTTCTTTGGTCTCTGCCATAGTGGAGGAAGAGCAAGGCATCCCAGGGGGCCGACACTACAATCCAGCCTTTTGGCTGTCTGAGTGGAAAAGGGCTTGCTGGACCAGCCATTCCCAAAGAGCGTCATTCACCAGTCCTCAGTGTCCGGAAGGCCCGCAGCCCAGCCACCACTGCCAGTAAATGGCTGCAGTGGCCAGGCCAGGAGTGCAATCTAAGTGACAACAGCCACTGCAGCTAAAGACAGTAAATCCCAGACAAAATAAGTCTGTGCACAGGATGCAGCTTGAGAGCTGATAGAAAGTTCCTTTGCAGGGAAAGAGCGGCGTCGGCTGTTTTGTGTTTCAGGCACTAAAAGGAGTGGCCCGCAGAAGGAAAGAGCAGTTGATCAGAGAAGAGCAAAGAGGCGGATGTGTCGCATCACGCCGGAGCGTGGGAGCAGTGACCAGGGCAAGGTCCATCGCGCCCGCAGTGCCCGGGGCTGTTTGCCCAGGCAGGCTCCTGTCTCCTGGGAGATCCTGTGTGTTCAGGGAGAGACGCCCTCAGTCTGACAGTGAAGGAGTTAATTTTTTGTCACTTATGGCTCCTGGAGACACTCCCCACTAAGCCTCCTCCCAAGGAGATAAAACTTCCCCCAGGAACTCCCCTAAACACTGCAGACAACCCAGTGCAACCTCCCTCCCGGTAAGGTGGGATCCTTAGGGGTTTTCTGATCAGCCAATGCAAGAGGAGCAGGGACCGTTAGGAGCTCGGTGTCTGCAGGACTAACTGGGCTCTTCAGGACACACCCTGTTGAGGACAGAGGAGCGTGGACTCCCACCTTACAAGTATCCAACAGGGAAATCCAGTTGAGGAAGTTCCCTTAAACACATTAGCCATAACCCCTTGAAGTACACCCCATTGTTAGCTCCATTTTACTGATGGAGAAACTGAGTTTTGGAGATGCTAAAATGACATGGCCAAGATCTCACAGCTACAAAGTGGTTGTCTGTGACTTGAACACAGACAGTTTAAATCAAGCGTCTGTTAAAGTCACCATAATGCTGTAGTGTAGTTACAGCATTAGATTCTAGCACGTGCCAGCCGAACTTTCTGAACACCCTGAGAACTTGAAATTCAGGCATGGTGTAGAATCCAGTCTCCCGCACACACATTTGAGATAGGATTAAACCCCGATTTCAAAGTACACTGCAAGTTACTTACGGAGCTCTACTCACTGGGTTACTTCGGCCTGCAGCGGGAACCAGGTTGAATGCAATCCTCTGCCTTCTAAGGACTGCAGAGAAGGTGCCTTTATTGCCTTTCAAATGGCCCTGCCCCCACAGTCTGATTAGTATCATCCCAGGGATCTCTGGGAAATGTAGCTGCAGGACCTCAGGTTGCTCCTGTGTACCTCTTATTCAAATATTTGCATTGAAAAGAATGTGGAGCGTTCCATTACGCGATGATCCCCCATGCCCCAGGCTGGGCAGGGTGTGCCCTGGTGTGTCACATAGTTCCTGCTCCCTGGGAGCCTGATGCCAGACTTTCTAGCTGTGACGCAGAAGGTGAGAGCTTGGAAGGGGTCCGGGAAAAGCAGATCCAATAACCTAGAGGAGGCAGAAGAGGAAGATGGAAGGTTTTAATCACACTCCCAGTTTATGGCACACTTTCTTCATCAACTCCCATAAGGCCTCTCTCTTTTTATTTTTCTTCCTTTCATCCCTCATCCTCAGCTCCATTCACCACTCCACCCAAGGTGCTGTGATGGGTGTCTGTAATCAGTCCACGCAGAGGGTCTGAGTGTGACATAGGTCATACGGCTATGTTTCTGCTTGTGTTTTTTATTTAATGGTATTGGTTTATAACTCTTGCTATTATGCATTTCTCTCTAGTCTCTCTCTCCCTATTTTTAATGTTTTTTATTGATACATAGTAATTGTACATATTTATGGGGTAGAACGTTCTAATACATGTATACATTGTGGAATGATCAAATCATGGTAATTAGCACGTCCATCACCTTCAACATTTATCATTTCTGTGTCTTGAGAACATTCAGAACGCTTTCTTCTAGCTATTTGAAATATGCAACACATTACTGTTAGTTACAGTCACTCCACTGAGCACTAGAGCACCAGAACTTTTTCCTCCTAACTGTGACATTGTACTAGACCAACCTCTCTCCATCTCCCCCTGCCCCCGTTCTCTCCAGTCTCTGGGAACCTCTGTTCTACTCTTAATTTCCATGAGATCAGTTTTTTTAGAGTCCACACATAAGTTCGATCTGTGGTCTTCATGACGTGATTGTTGCCTTTGAACCTGCTGTTCCAGCACATGTCTCTGTGGTGGATGTCTCTGCTGTATGAACTTGAGGTTGTCTATGACAAGGCTTTTTCTCAGCCTGTGCTTGGGCAGGCAGATGGACCTGTAAATTAATGCCCCTGGGACCACCGTTCAGGCCAGGATGACAGCAGTTGGAGGCTAATGTCCCTGTGTCCTGCTTGCTCAGGTGAGATGACTTTTAGGCATGTACAACACCGCCTCCTGGTGTCCTCTAGTGGCATTATGCTCCCTTTGTCCACAGGTAACCTGGAAATGATGCACCTTTTATTGATCCTCACACTGCCCTGGTCTCACTGTCCCACTCCCGCCCTGGTGCTTCCTTAAATCCCCTCCCAAATAAGCTACTCGAGAGCAAATCCTTGTCTTGGCATCAGGTTCTATTTATTGTTTATTTTTAAAAATTTTTTTGTAGAGACAGTGTCTCACTATGCTGACCGGGCTGGTCTTGAACTCCTGGCCCTAAGCGATCCTCCTTCCTCGGCTTCCCAAACTTGCTGGGATTTCAGGCATGAGCACCATGCCCAGCCAGGGTTTGCTTTTAGAGGAACCCATGCTGAGACAATTTAACTCACCAGTTCTACTGGTGAAGGACACTTAGTTGGTCTCCTACTCCGGTTTTTTACAAACACCGGTGTGATAAATACTTCCCTAGACATCCCCTGTAGATTAGCAACTGAGCTTTGCTGGGATGTATATCGGGAATGGGATCTGCTGAGGGGAAGGGCATAGGCACAGTTAATTTCACTTAGCACTACCAGATTTCTGTCCTTTTGTATAGAAGAAAACTTTCCGTCTTCCTCATATCCTGGTTGACACTTGGTATTAGCAACCCTCAAATGTGTGCCACTTTTCTGTGTCTCAGGTGATAACTCAGTGTTCTTTTCATTTTCACTTCTGTCATATCTAGTGACCTTGAGCAGCTCTTTGCCTACCTATCGACCCTTCACATTTCCACTTGAGAGTTAAATGGCAAGGTTTGGAGGAAGAGCTGCTTCTGCCACATTAGCCAGGACCCAGGGTGATGGACTGTAGAGCATCTTGCTAGAAAAACACTGGCTGAGGTAAGGGTGGGGGAGGGACAGGGAAGAAATAATCCCTGAATGTAGAATTAGGGTCTGGACCATTTTTGGCGGAGTATAGGAAAAGAATTGTTCAGTGGATCATGGCCACTGTCCCCTTGATTCTGGGAAAATTGCCACCTGAATCTGAAATGTTGTAATTCAGATTAGCAAGTTTATAATTCTGAGATTGCTTCTATCATTACTGCCAAAGTGACAGGGGCCTTAAGGATGTCCAGCAAGAGCTGTCTGGGAAATTATGAGATCAGAGGGCTTATGGCTAAGGGAGGGTGCGGCCAGAGTCAAGGATCCTCATGTCCAAGGGCAAGAGCACCTCAGGTTGTAGGGCTGGGACGTCAGAGGGCTGGAGAACACTGTATAGCCTCCAGTGGAGTGGCTGTCAAAACTTTCAAGCCAAAATCTGACTATATCAAGTTTTTTTAGTACGTGGAAGGGGAGCAGAAGTTGGAAATAGTTAAACTGTCACTGAGCACTCCATCACCATAGCAGCAAGAGACACAGAGATAGGCTGGGTAATAATAGTGACAACATAAAGAGAAGCTCCCTCTTCCCTGTGACATAAGCAAGTTGAAAGCGTGTGGTTTGTGTTTTTAAAAACACTAAAAGCATCGGAGACAGTAGCATGTCTGGTTTAAATATTCTAACTTGTGGTAACTCAGTTTTATGTCAAAATTCTAAAGTTTGGTAACTGATTCTTTGTTTCCTTGCTACAGAAAAAAAAAATTGTTTTTGCAAAGGCAGGAAGAAAGGAATACAAGCTCTTCTTTTCCTGAAATTCCCTGAAGAACGGCTCTATGGCAGCATGGGCTCCAAGCTGAAGATTTTTTTTTGTTTTTGCTTAATACATCAATTTTAATATCTGTTTACCAAAACTTCTGGTTTCTATTTCAACAGGTAATGTATGGAGTTATCCTTCCCATCTTCTGATCAAGGAGAAAACCGAATAAAATGAAAATAGGTAATTCTTGAGAGATCCATCATAGAATTGAGGTCACAGGGCAAACTGCTGCCCTGAAAAGTGGAGAGACAGATGGGTGAATAGAGAATCAGAGTTCATTCTCAATCCTGGGAACTGTAAAAAGAAAAATCTTAGGGCCCCCCGTCCAACTCTTCAGACAAAGGGAAGGTAAAGGTCTCAGGCACCACAGATCATTCATCAAATTCTTTGCTGACCTCCTGTAAGCAAGAACTTGATATTGTCACCATGTCTAGCATGTAAAACTAAAACTTGTTTGATTCCACACTAATAATAAGTGACAAGTTTATCTTTACAGGTAACAGAACAGGAGACAGGACAGGATCAGACATTCTTCCACCTAAGCAGGGACAGCTACATAATTGATGCTTCCTTCACCGCCTTTTTCTCTTCTAACACTCCTCGTATCTTATATAAAATGTAGCTTTCCTGGGCCTCACAAGAATGGAAACATTTTCCTTACCATTGCCCTGCTCCCAGCCTTGTCCTTTCACTCTGTACACCTTCAAATGCTGAAGCTTCCAAATTGCCCTTCTGAGAAACAGCCACAGGTCTGCCTGTCATTCATGTTTTTCCTGGGCATGTCCTCAATTTGGCTTAACAAACCTCTGTTGCTTGAGATTTTTGCCTCCATCACTTACTTGGTTCAATAGAACTAAAGCCCGGATCAGAAGACCGCAGAGGAAGCCGGTTATTTTTAGGAACACTTAAACATGAAGTGGATTAACTGCTGAGGCTCCGTGTCAGGCAAGCTGGAGAGTTTAAAAGTCTTGGGGGCTCAGTCTCCAGGGGTCTTCGTACTTTTGTGTTTTACCCCAGGAGCCCCACCAGGCTCTCCCTAAGCAAGAGCAGACCTGTCTCTACTAAAAATAGGAAAAGTAGCCAAGCATCGTGGTGCTCACATAGTCCCAGCTCTCGGCAGGGGGATCGCCTGAGTCCAGGAGTTTGAGGCTACAGTGAGCTACGATGATGCCACTGCACTCTACCCAGGGCGACACAGCAAGGCTCTGTCTCAAAAAAAAAAAAAAAGAAAAGAAAAAGAAAAGAAAATAAAAAAGTCTGAAGGAACAAAGTGTCATAATCCAATTCATAGATGGTGGAGATTTTGGGGTTATCAGACCAGGAATTTTAAATAACTATTATTGATATGCCAAGGTCTCTCATGTAAAAATGGGAAACGTGCAAGAATAGATGAGTTAGATAAGCATAGAGATTATAACTCTGAGAAGAAATCAAAAGTAAATGCTAGAAATAAAAAACACTGTAATAGAAAGAAAGAACATCTTTGACGGGCTCACCCAGAGACTGCACACGGGCAAGAAAAGATTCAGTGACACTGAAGACGTGAAATAGAAACTTCCCCACACTGAAATTTGAAGAGAGAGAAAAAGAGAACAAAACAGAGCAGGCATGAAGATGGAATAATACTGAAAGGTAGTATATATTAATATAAGGTGGGAATGTGGACATTCCATATAGTGTATATAATGGTACAGGCTCTGTGGAGAGGGAACAACAGCCTGGTGCTCTGTGCTGGGACCGCACTGGGCGGGGGAGGGACTGGTCTACTAACGGTCACTTCCCACGACCGGGCCAGGGAGTTTGGAGACAGGCACCCGCCTCTGGTGGTCAGCGGGGCCAGAGCACAGGAGTGAACGCTGAAAAGGGGGCTCTGCCCCTGGAAACCGCTTATGATTGGGCCAGCTCAGGGCGGGACAGAAAGACAGGACGCTCTGCTAGGCAGACGTGACACTGCAGGGCTGCGATGCAGAGGGGACAGCGGGTGGCCTGTTGAGTCAGCCCGTCGGACGGGCATCTGACAACTCCTCAGTGGTCGCCCCTGCACTAGCTCTTCAGCGGCAGGCGGTCACCATTTTGGGGGTACACAGCCCG